GTTTAGGTTTTGTTCCCCAACTTTCTCAGGGAGGATTTTGTTGACATCGGGGAAAAGCACCAGTCCTCCGAACCGCGCCACCCAAAGCTCCGAAGCCCCTGCACTTTCACCTGTTTTCTTCATCACATTAAATAAACCCCCTTCTCCTTGAAATGGAACTCTAGGACGAGAAGGGTTTGGAAATGGGCGAGGGTTCAGACCTCTGCGGTAAGGGACCATATGAAGGGCCCCTTAGAGAAAGGGCTTGCACCCGAGTTTGAAGAAAGCGAATCTAATTATGAAGGCCCCCATGGTAGCCGACTTCGTTCGCCAGATGTCTACGCTGGGTTGCAGAACCGAAAGGACGCGCGAACATGAATTCCGTGACAAAGGGTTTAGGGTTTAAGAGTACCGGGAAAGACTTCTCCCCTCCCTCCTTATAACGTTTAGCGCCCCCCCATGTCCTGAAATCGACCGAGGAAGCCTTCGTGGAGCTATTGGCTCTACGTGCAGGCGCTTTCCTTAAGGTATAACTGCAGAATCTGCGGACCCTAACCCTAAACGCTACAATTGTGGGGCAGGTCGGGCAGCTCTTTGCGAAGCTGCGGATCCTCCTGGCCCAGGACCTACCGGGACCCGGGGACCTACAGGGTTTTTGGGAACCATGGGGTTTAGGGTTCAGGGTTCAGGGTTCAGGGTTCAGGGTTTAGGGTTTAGGGTTTAGGGTTTAGGGCTTAGGGTTTAGGGTTTCGGGCAAGGGTGCCATGGAACAGAGAGTCATGCAAGCGTAGGTACCAGAATCTTCTTAGCAGCAACCAGGTGCCGTGTTTCCAGGCGGTTTTTTGCTGCTCGGGGAAAGAAGTGAAGTATCAGTACCCGAGCAAAAAGAGTGCGCAGGGAGAGGCTGCAGCATGTTTCGCCTCTACTCCTAAAACCCTAAGCCTTAAACCCAAACCGCCCAAGCCCTCAACCCTAACCCCTAAACCCCAAACCGCCCTCAACCCTAACCCCGAAACCCTATAGCCTCGCAACTGTAGCACGCGTCAGAGCGCGACCCGAAAATGCACACCATCGGCGCCAGAGGGCTCCAGCACATCCGACCGGCAAATGCAAGTGGGACTAAGGAGTTGCATGGTAGGCTTCACAGGGTTTAGGGTTTAGGGTTTAGGACTTAGGACTTAGGGTTTAGGGTTTAGGGTTTAGGGTATACAGAGTTACCAGGGTTTATAAGGTTTTCAGGGATTGTAGGGTTTATAGGGTTCTTTAGGGTTTGCAGGGTTTATGGGGGGTGGATTTCACAAACCCTCTAGAGGCTGTAGGGTTTAGGGTCTAGGGACGGCTGAAGGCTCTAAGCCCTAAGGCCTGAAGCAAAGGGCCCGGAAGGAGTGTTTGTGGAGCCATGGCTCACCTGGGTGACGAGCCAGGATGGGAGGAGCAGTTGAGGAACCTCATGGGGCAAGGACCCTCGACGCGACGAGCTTCCCAAGCCCTGATCCTAGGGGAGTGACTAAGCCTTATAAATCCTAGAAACCTAAAGCCTAAAAGCCCAGTTATCCATTAAACAGAACCTTACAACCCAACTATTATTTATTTATTTATTTATTTATGTATTTATTTGTTTATTTATTTGTTTTTAAAAAGAAAATACTTACCAGAATAAATAGTCCCTGCCCTATGAACCCCTAGGGTTCCACTGTCACAGCGGCTTTGGAACTCTAAACCCTAAACCCTAGACCCTAGACCCTAAACCCTAGAAAAACTCCTTAAATGTCCATTCTCCCAGGAGCGGCTTTGGGTTTCCTTCGTCGCCTCAGCGACCGGTGCGCCGCGACGGCATCCTGTGAGGAAGTGCAGAGTCTGAGCCTTGGGGACTACATGAACCCTAAAAAGGGTTTAGGGGTTAGGGTTTAGGGTTTTAGGGTTTTAGGGTTTTAGGGTTTTAGGGTTTAGGGTTTAGGGTTAGAAGTTTAGGGTTGATGTACCTGAAGAGGAATTCGCAGTACCCAATTTTGGGGGGGTTCGTTTGCCCCCAGCAAAGGAGGATGAAGGCCCTCCTCGCACAAGAGGCGTATCGCATGGATCGCATGGCGCCAGGCGCGGGCACGTGCATGGAAGGAGAGCTGAGGATCCTTTTTTCCGCCTTTAGTTGAACTTTTTAACTTTTTTGGTTTCCTTATTTAGTAGGAATATTCAAGTTTCCGCCTTTAGTTGAACTTTAAACTTTTTGGGTTTCCTTATTTGGTAGGAATATTCAAGTTTGACCTTTTTTCACCTTGGTTATTGGAGAAATAAGGATCTGCGGCTCTATATTCTGGGTCATGGCCAGGTCCTCCGAGCAAGATGCGGCCACCTTCTTCTTGGCGCAGTCGGTGGAGGCCGCCGGGAAGTATTACCTGGTCTTCCGTGGCACGAAGGACTTAGGGACTGGGCAGGTAACCGTTAACCTTTTTCATAGAATTTCCATAGAATCCTACTTTATTAAAAGCTTGACCCCTAAAGCCGAAACCTTAAACCCTAAACCCTAGCCCTAAACCCTAAACCTTCTTGGGGGCTAGGGTATTCAGCCCCTATACAGGAGGCCAAGGACATGATGGCCGATGCCATCGTGGCGCCCACAGACTTCGAGGGGCTTTGCGTCCACAAGGGCTTCGCTGACTTGCTCCTGCCGGTCAAGAACCCAGGGCTCCTTGGGACCAAGTGAACCCTGAAAGGGTTTAGGGTTTAGGGTTTAGGGTTTAGGGTTTCGGGTTTAGGGTTTAGGGTTTAGGGTTTAGGGTTTAGGGTTCGTATTGCCTTAAACTAGAATGATAGGTAGTCTAGGGTACATGACCCCCAATTCTAGGGTTCATGTGGCTTCCCAAGGCTCAGGGATGTGGTTGAGATCCTCCACCACCACGACGGCGAGGTGGACTTAGAGTGCGTGGGCCACTCGCTGGGAGGAGACCTGGCGCTCATCTTGGCCGCCTGCACTTGGTTCCAGAGCCTTGGGGACGCAATGAACCCTAAAAAGGGTTTTATGGTTCATAGTACCTTAATTGGAGCTATAGTAGTATAGGGCACACGACCCCAGTGTTAGGGTTCCTTTGGTCCACTAGGAGCAGACTCCATCACCAAACACAAACTCGGGTGACGATGTTTGGGTCCCCCAAGTGCTTCCACGGCACAGCGAATCCAGTCCCAAACGTGACCCTGGTCGTGAACGATGGTGATCTGGTCCCACGCCTTCTTGGCGCTGCGGATGCTGAGATGCAGTTGAGGACCCCCCACCTCAGCCCATCTAAGCAAACAGGTACTGGGTGGCACTGCCTTTGCTCTCTAGCCCACAGATGGCAAGCAAAGCGGCAGGACGTGCTTCAGGGCTGCCTGTTCCCCTTTCAAAACTACATCCTAAGCACGAAGTGCCCTGAAAAAGCCCCCACACCCTCACCCTCCAGCCCTTGAAGCACCCTTGAAGCCCTAGAGAACGTGCGCTCAGGACATGCAAGAACTCCCGGATCTGATCCGAAGCACAGGGCTGGAACATGCAGGGGAGGACGCAGGTGGTATTTGGGGCCGCCTGCAAGGCACCATGGTGGTCTTGGCAGTTTGATATAGGCTTCTTTGGTTGTCGTTGGTGGTGGGTGGGGTGGCTACACCCTAAACCCTAAACCTAAACCCTAAACCCCAAACCCTAAACCCCAAACCCTAAACCCTAAACCCCAAACCCCAAACCCCATAAAGCATCAGCCGTCTCACTTATATTGATCGCATTGACTTCAAGTCCGTGTCAACCCCAAACCCCAAACCCCAAACCCCAAACCCCAAACCCTAAACCCTAAACCCTAAACCCCCTAAACCCTAAACCTCAAACCCTAAACCCTTCTCAGGCCTACACCGGCACCTCCACGATCTCTGCGCGGGCTACCGGCACCCACCCGATTTGAGGCAGCTAGGGCTTGGGAGGTCTGCACTGCCCCATTAGGGTCCATGTACCTTGTGTTTAGGGTTTGGGGTTTAGGGTTTGGGGTTTAGGGTTTAGGGTTTAGGGATACTATAGGGCCTGATGAACTAGAATAGGGTTTTTTTTTTTTTTGGGGGGGGGGGGTCATTACAGTATAGTTACGAAGGAGCCACAAATCTTACTTTCTTTCTTTCTTTGCGGACTGTAAAGCCCCGGGGGGCGTGTCCCAAAATTCGTGCTGAAAGGTGAAACATTGCACCGCCAGAAAGAGGCGGTGGGCCCCTCAACATCACAAGGCCAGTGTTCCTTTGAGGCGTTCCAGCCAAAGCAGGATGCAAGAAAAGCTGAAAACTCAGCACCTGCACCCTAACTCACAAAACCTACAACCCCGGAGCAGAAATCTACAAGCTTGTAGTGTGCACTCGGAGTTGCAAAATCTGAGCCTTTCAGGCCCAAGTATATAAAGGAGCTCGCGATGGCCACATATCACGAGCGGACAGCTATTCCTCCACAACGGGTCCCTTTAAGAGGCCACACATGCCCTCATACATGGCCACAAGCCATGCGACTCGTAACAATCTGTACGAACATGGACAATACACAACAAAGATATGTACAAAGCCATCAGGTAAAGAAAGATGCAACGAGTAAATGATCCGCATCCTCTGGATGGACCTAGGCAATTTTGTGTTCCTAGGGCATGTCACTTTAAGAGGCATCAGTCGCCACAGAAGGCGCATCCGGCGAAGTAGTTGCATGCCCTGCAGGCGCAGGTTGAAATGGCGACCAAACGTCAATCTCTGCAAGCTGCTGGGTAAAGGTGCCTCCAAGCTCGGATTCAACGATTCGCCAAACATCAGACCATGCAGGCTGATGGGAAGTTTGATGCCCCCCAAGAACTGGATGACAAGGTCACCAAACCGCAAACGTTGAAGTCTGCCGTTTGATTGGATGGATTCCGGACTTCGGTTTAACGCATAGCCAAGCAACAAACTCAGCAGGCTGCTGGGCAGTTGGGTTCCCTCCAGGCTCTGGTTGAGCTCATAGCCAAACAACAAAACCTGCAACGCATGGCCAAACATCAAGCTCTGCAGGCAGCTGGACAGTTGGGGCAGCTGGACACTTGGGTTCCCTCCAGGCTCTGGTTGGACTCATAGCCAAACGACAAACTCCGCAAGCTGCTGGGCAGCTGAATGCCCTCCAGTCTCCGGTTGAACGCGTGGCCGAACGTCAAACTCTGCAGACTGCTGGCCAGTTGGACGCCCTCCAGGCTCTGGCAGAAATGGCGACCACACGTCAAACTCCGCAAGCTGCTGGGTAGCTGAGCGCCCTCCAGGCTCCAGTTGAACGCGTCGCCGAAGGTACTCTGCAGAATGCTGGCCCCATGGATGCCCTCCAGGTTCTGGCAAAAATGGCGACCACACATCAAAGTCCGCAGTCTGTCGGGGAGATGGATGCCCTCCGAGCTCTGGTAGGGGTGGGAGCAGCGACAAGCTCCGCAGTCCGCTGGGTAGTCATCTCGGCCGGGATATGCCGGCCAACACCTTGACAAGATTTGGATGCCAGCACACATGCGCAGCAGCAAGTGAAGCGTCGACTTCTTTCGAACGCCATAGTCGTACCCATTTCCCATGGCGGGCGATGTTCAGGGGTACTGGGGCACATCGAGGAGCCACAAATACTATACAAAACCGAACTAAGGGTCCATGTACCTTCTGATTTTGTGAGGGTCTCCTAAATAAAGGGTACCTTGTTGGTCCTTACTATAAGAGAATCCTACTATTTGGGTGTCTGGTCCCATTAGTGTCGTAAACCCCCAAATTCATATACTTGGGCAAGGACCCTTAGGGCAGCATCTATAGTATTTGTAGTAACAGTATTAGACGCTCTAGATTCTAGGCTTGAGGCTTGAAGGCGTGAAAGTTCAGAGTCTAGGGTGTAGGCTTCTGCATACCGCGCAGGAAACTTAAACGAAACCGTCGCCAGCCCTCGCAAAGCAGGGGATGTTCCCCCCTTTTCTGACGGCCCCTAGTAGAGATTTTCGTACCCCCTATTATAATCCCTCCTAAGGACTGTGGGAAAAAAGGAGGGAACATCCCAAAACAAACCTTACCTGCTCCAGGTTGGTGATCCTCCGGAACAACTGTGCCCTGATACCGCGGGAGGTTTTCCACGATCCTCTCTGGCTTTGCAGCTTGTGCTCAGTGGGTAAGCGATAAGCGCTTCGGATGAAGCACCTTAAGCCCCATAAACCCTAAAAACCCTAAACCCCATAGACATACCGGAAACCTGAAAATCCTACAGATGCTGCGAAGTGCCAAAAACTCGAAGATATCAGACCCTCAGCCCTTTATGGGTTTGGGTCAGGGTACTTGACCCCTAAGTCAATCAAATGCCAAAGAAGCGTTACAGGTGGGAGTAGGTCATGGCCTCGCATGTTTCGAAACCTTCAGGCACATGAAGATCAAAATACATATAGGTGTACAAAATCACCCCAAACCCGCCTAACCCTAAACTCTGCAGCCCTAAACCTGCAGCCCTAAACCCTGACGCTTACCGCGTGGTTTTACGACACCGACCGGAAGCCGTGAAGAACCCAGCCAACGTTGAGCATGGAGGTTACTCTAGGTGAGCAACCACATCATGTCAAAACGGGGTTCTGCGGAAGAAGAGCCTTTAGGAAACGAAACGAGATTAGAGCTTTGGAGCAACATTGAACATGAACTCTAAGCAGACCCCAATCTAAACCCTAAGCCCTAAATCCTAAACCCTAAAAGCCCTAAACCCTAGAAGCCCTAAACCCCCAAAATCCTCTTCGAGGCATGGGCGCGGTGTTCGGCGCCATGACGGCCCGACGAAGGAATCCGGTGAGGGACCATTTGTTGAGCTCCTACGTCGAGTCCTTGGACCAGGCACAGTAAGGGGGTTTAGGGTTGAGGGTTTAGGGTTTAGGGTTTTAGGGGTTCCCAACATGGTTTCTCAAAATAGGGGTATCCGGAATATACCCCCCCAAATACTATAATCCTCATTATAGCCAAAAATGATATGGACCCTGTACCTTGGGGACGAAATGAACCCTAAAAGAGTTTGTGGTTCTTTTTGCCTTCCTAGGAACTATAGTAGTAGAAGGTATGTGACCCCAATTTTAGGGTTCATCTGGTCCCAAGGTGGGTACACTTGCCCAAAACCCTACACCCTACACCCTAAACCCTAAACCCTAAACTCTAAACCCTAAACCCTTGTTGTGCCAGGGGCATTGGGCACGAGGGGAATTCAATGGGTGTTTCCGCCGGATCCATTCACACCTAGTGCCACGGAGTCTCAGGTCCTTCAACCCCTTCATCCTTTCCCTAAACCCTAAACCCTAAACCCGAAAAGCCCTTGTAAGTCCCATGCCACAGAAGCCTTAAACGAAGCCAAAAACCCAATTCCCGACATCCTAAGCCCTGAACCCTACACCCAAAACCCTAAACCCTAGCCCTAAACCCTAAACCCTAAACGCTAAACGCTAAACCCTAAACCCTAAACCCTAAACCCTAAACCCTAAACCCTAAACCCTAAACCCTAAACCCAACAACCAGGTGGAGGTCTCTTCCATGGGCCGATCCGGTACCCTGCGCAAGGTGCCGGACCGAATCCTCAGCCTCTTGGGGAGGGTTCCCTGGAAGGAGCTGCCCCTGGGCCTGGTGGGATGAAGGGGCTTTAGGGTTTTAGGGGTTTAGGGTTTAGGGTTTAGGGTTTAGGGTTTAGGGTTGAGGGTGTTTTTCATGATCTGTTCAGGTTTCGGTTCAGTAGCGCATTGCGAAGCTGCCGTGTTTTGCAAGAAGTATGGCGTGGTATTGCAGGGAAACGATGCCTTATGGGGCCACAACTTCCTCCACTCCCCTATCCTAACCCAATCGCCTTCAACTCCGCTAGGGTGCCGGGCGGGGCGGGTGGTGGGCTTGGCCAGCGGAGTTCGAGTGGTGCAGGTGTTTCGGTTTGCCTCTGACTCCAAAACCCATCACCCAAAGGCCATAACCCAAAGCGCCTGAAAGCCCTAAACCCCAAAACCGCCAAAAAAACCCTAAACTCCAAAACCCACAACCCCAAGAAGCCCTTATCTCAGCCCATGGGCCTACCAGAACAAGGCTCGCCCACGCGGCCTCGCGGGCGGACGGACGCCGAGGCGGCCGGAGAGAGCAAAGCCAGATCGCTGAGCACGGTGCGACGGCGGGGAGCGTGTTGGAAATATTGTGGCAGTTGGGCTGCCCTTGAGGGTTTAGGGTTTAGGGCCTAGGGTTTAGGGCTTAGGGCTTAGGGCTTAGGGTTTAGGGTTTAGGGTTTAGGGTTTAGGGTTTCAATGGAGTTTATGGGCAGCCGACCCTGATTCTGATATGTGTCCGGTCACCGCGGCCTCCTCCAGAGAAGGCAAGACACCTGACGCGGCGCATGAATTCAAACGAAAACGTTGAGGAGCCCTCTTCCGTCCTTTGGTGTCTGTGG